GCTGCGGTGGCCGGGAGCGGCCACTACACTCCAGTCTGGGCGACGGAGTGAGACTCCAACACACACACACACACACACAAAAAGTGCTAGGATAACAGGTGTAGGCCTTGGTCTCCCAAAGTGCTAGAATAACAGGTGTAGGCCACTGTGCCTGACCAGAACACTTTATTCTAAGAGAGATGAGAAATCATTGGAAGGTTTTATACAAGAATGAGATAATATGTTTGTGCACTAAAAAAGAAAACTCTGGTTGATGTGTGGAAATGAATGTAGAGTAGCAAGGGTAGAGGCAAGGAGACCAATTAAACAGCTCTGCTGCAGTTCACGTGAGATAATTTTGGCTTTACCACATCTACATGGTTCCCCTCCTTTCCATTCCACACTCCAAAACCACTGAATCTATTAAACATTCCCTGGAAGTACTATGATCACTCTGATCTCTGGACCTCTACCCATGCTTTCCCTCTGCTGGAGCACTCTTCCCCACCCTTCCCCCTTAAGTGCTTAGATGCCATTTTTAGAAAAGCTTGCTGACTCAGACTGGGTTAGGTACTCCATCTATGTGCTGGCACTTATTTTTCTGTTTTGTTTGGAGAAGGGTCTTGCTATATTGCCCAGACTAGTCTCAAGTGATCCTCTGGTCTCAGCCTCCAGAGTAACTGGGATTACATGTATATGCCATGATCTCCAGCTATGTGCTGGCACACTGATAGCAATCTTTGCTTAATTGCTATACTTATGCCATAGTTATTGCTGCTTTACTTGCATATATCTCCCCCACCAAATTATTACTTTTATAAGAGCAGAACATACACTATTTTCCTTTATATTCCTAAAATCCATCACAGTACTTGGCACATGGTGGGTTCTCAGTAACAAGGTTATATAAACGAATTAATCAATGTTCAATAAGAAGGGGATTCTTCAGTGATTATTTAGGGATGATGTTCTTAACTCATCCTAAAATTACAGTAAACAGTGAATTATGCCAATTATGTGCCAGGCACTGTGCCAGGAGTTAGAACTTTGATGAAAATAATAATGGGTAACAATTATCAAGTATTATAGTATATGGAAGGTACTGTGTCAAACACATTATACATATTTTGTTTAATCTTTGTGAAAACCTTGTCAGATATGTACTATAATCTATGCCACTGTCTATCCCACTCCCCACTGTTTTCTTTTACAGACAAGAGACAGAGATTAATTAACTTTCTCAAGACTATATAGCTAGTGAGTATGGAAGCCATGAATTGAACCTAAGAGTCTGATACCAGAACTTGAGCTGCTAGCCTCTATTACTCCATTGCTTTTGGTAGTAAGAAAGTAATTAACTCCCTCTAGGGGAAAAAGGGGGAAGTAGAGTTAACAACCATCTAGATCTTAAAGACAGTGTAAGTGCTCTAAGTATAATATAACAGGGTTTGTTGGAATCACAAGAAGTAATTTAGTGTGAGTAGAGCATGATGGTATCAGTGTAAGTGCTCTAAGTAAAAAGTAGAATATAACAGGGTTTGTTGGAATCACAAGAAGTAATTTAGTGTGAGTAGAGCAGGATAATATGGAATAAGCGTGGCAAGTGTTAAAGCAGAAGTGGAAGGTAAAAAGTCTCTAAATCCTGTATTTACAAGTTTGATTTTTGGGCTGTATGCAAACAATGGAGACCTACCTTATGATGATCAAAACTGACCCAAGACTTTTTTTTTTTTTTTTTAATTAGAGTCTTACTCTGTCACCCAGGCTGGAGGTCAGTGGCACGCTCCCGGCCACCATAGCCTCAACCTGCTGGACTCAGGCAGTCCTGCCTCAGCCTTCCAAGTAGTTGGAACTACAGGCACCCACCATGCCTGGCTAATTTTTTGATTTATTGTAGACATGAGGTCTCACCAAGTTGCCCAGGCTGGTCTTGAACCCGCGGGGCTCAGGTAATCCTCTCACCTTGGCCTCCCAAAGTGTTGGGATTATAGGCATGAGCCACCATGCCGGGCCTGACCCAAGACATTTTAATGAAGAATTAAAATACCATATTTGCAGTTCTAAAACATGCCAAATGATGTATGAAATAATTACTCTCATCAAATCTCTGATCTTATTGTATCGATCATCCCTGAGCTGCTTACTGAAACTAGGGCTACACAAGGGAGGGGACTGCATATGGACAAGCCTCAGGAATGTCTACTGCACAATTCTAGTGGGTAATAAACATTAAAAAAGTGTTTCTAAGTTTTAATACAGTTGTCAAAATGGCTACATCAGATTTGCCAAAATGTCCTGCCTGCTTTGATAGTGCTATGTCTGCCATGAGTTTTCAAGTAAGGTCTTTTGAGGTCTCTTAAGACTTAAGAGCCTCAAAAAAGGAAAAACAGACAGTAGTTTAAGGAACTCAGGTACCTGCTGTATATGGTGAAGCATTTCAATGATCTGAATGTAGTCCAGGTAAACAAGTCCAGATGTTTCCCAGTCCTGAATTAGGCTGCTGCGTTCTGGAGGTGCCAGGTCTTCCAAGAACCCCTTTAGGTAGTCATAGTTCTCATTAATGATGGCATCTGAAGAAACAAAATATTGAGCATGATGTCTACACAAGTGTATGGTTTCCGAAAGTGCAGAGGACATGACAGAAAGATAGCAAGGACACAGAATAATGTAGGGTCAAAATTCAGAATTACAAGTAGATACAGGCATACCTTGGAGATACCGTGGGCTCTATTCCAGACTACCACAATAAAGCAATTATCGCAATAATGTAAGTCACAAAAATTTCTTTTTTTGAGTCAGAGTCTCACTCTGTCACCCAGGCTGGAGTGCAGTTGCATGCTCACAGCCATCGCAGTCTTGACCCGCTGGGCTCAGGCAATCCTTCTGCCTCAGCCCTCCAACTAGCTGGAACCACAGGCATGCACCACCATGCCCGGCTAATCTTTAAAAATTTTTATTGTAACGATGAGGTCTTGCCATGTTGCTCAGGCTGGTCTCAAACTTATGACCTCAGGCAATCCTCTCACCTCCGCCTCCCAAAGTGCTGGGAGTATAGGCGTGAGCCACTGTACCAGGACACAAATATTTTTTGGTTTCCCGGTGCACATAAAAGTTATATTTATGCCATACTCTAGTCTATTAAGTGTCCAATAGCAATAGTGATTCTTTAAAAAAAATCAACGTACATACCTTAATTTTTAAAAAATATGTTAATATTTTATTTTTAAAAATGCTAACAATCATCTGAGCCTTCAATGAGTAATCTTTTTGCTGGTAGACAGTTTTACTTAAATGTTAATAGCTGCTGACCAATCAGGATGTCAGGTTGGATAGCTGTGACAATTACTTAAAATAAGACAGCAATAAAGTTTACCTTAACAACTGACTAACTACATTTCATGAAAGATTTCTCTGTAGCATCTCATGCTATTTGCATTCTACCCACAGAACTTCTTTCAAAATTGGAGTCAGTTCTCTAAAACCTAGCCACTGCTTTACCAAACTAAGCTTATGTGACATTCTAAATCCTTTCTCTGCTTATGTTGCAAGGTATTAAGGAAAAAATTTTTAATAATCCTTTGTTATTTCAGCAATGTTAACATCTTTACCAGGAATAGATTCCATCTCAAGAAACCACATTTTTCTCTTTAAGCTTAGACGTTCATTTATTTGTTTATATATTTTTGAGTCAGAGTCTTACTCTGTCGCTCAGGCTGGAGTATAGTGGCACGCTCACGGCCACCGCAGTCTCCACCTGCTGGGCTCAGGTGATCCTTCTGACTCAGCCTTCTTTTTTTTTGAGTTGGAGTCTCACTCTGATGCCCAGACTGGAGTGCAGTGGCCGCTCCCGGCCACCACAGCCTCGCCTGCTGGGCTCCGGCAATCCTTCCACCTCAGCCTTCCGAGTAGCCGGAATTACAGGCATGAGCTACCACACCCGGCTGATTTTTTGATTTATTGTAGAGATGAGGTCTCGCTGCCCAGGCGGGTCTCGGACCTGCGGGCTCAGGCAATCCACTCACCTCAACTTCCCAAAGGTGCAGGATTACAGGCTGAGCCATGAGCCTGGCTATGACTCAGTCTTCTAAGTAACTAGAGCTACAAGCATGTGCCACCACGCCTGGCTAATTTTTTTTTTTTTTTTGAGTTGGAGTCTCACTCTGTCACGCAGACTGGAGTGCAGTGGCTGCTCCTGGCCACCACAGCCTCGACCTGCTGGGGCTCTGGTAATCCTTCCGCCTCAGCCTTCCAAGTAGCCGGAATTACAGGCATGCGCTACCACACCCGGCTGATTTTTTGATTTATTGTAGAGATGAGGTCTTGCTGCCCAGGCGGGTCTCAAACCCGCGGGCTCAGGCAATCCACTCACCTCAGCCTCCCAAAGGTGCGGGATTTACAGGCTGAGCCACTGAGCCCGGCTTAATTTTTTGATTTATTGTAGAGATGAGATCTTGTCAAGTTACCCAGGCTGGTCTTGACCCCCTGGGCTCAAGCAATCCTCTTGCCTCCACTTCCCAAAGTGCTGGGATTACAGGTATGAGCCACTGTGCTGGGCAAATTAGCATAATTCTTAAGAGCCCTAGGATTTTCAGAATGGTAAATGAGCCCTGGCTTCAAGTTAAAAATCTTCAATTTAGTTAACCCCTAAAGAGAGAGTCAGCTTCTCCACTTAAGCTTTGAAGTCAGGCACTGACTTCTCTTTTCTAGCTATGAAAGTCCTAAATGGGATCTTCTTTTAATAGAAGTCTGTTTCATCTATGTTGAAATCTGTTGTTTGGTATAGTCACCTGCATCAATGATTTTAGCTAGATCTTCTGGATAATTGGTGCAGCTTCTCTATCAGCACTTTCTGCTTCACCTCGCATTTTTATGTTATAGAGATGGCTTCTTTCCTTAAACCTCAAGAACCAACTGCTAGCTTCCAACTTTTCTTCTGCCGCTTCCACACCTTTGACAGCCTTCACATAACTGAAGAGAGTTAAGGCCTTATTCTGGATTAGGCTTTAGCTTAAGGGAATGTCATGGCTGGTTTGATCTACTATCCTGATCCTAAAATTTTCTCCATATCAGCAGTAAGGTTGTTTTGCTTTCTTGACATCTGTGTGTTCACTGATGTAGTACTTTTAATTTCCTTCAATAACTTGTCCTTTGCATTCAAAATCTGGCTAATGTTTGGCAAAGGAGGCCTATTCTTTGACTTATCTTGGCTTTCGACATGCCTTTCTCACTAAATTTAATCATCTCTAGCTTTTGTTTAAAGTAAGAGACATGCAACTCTTTCTTTCACTTGAACCACTTAGAGGCCATTATGGGGTTATAAACTGGTCCAATTTCAATATTGTTGGGTCTTGGGAAAATAGGGAGGCCTGATGAGAGGAAGAGAGATGGGGAATGAATAGCTGATGGAACAGTCAGAACACACACAATATATATATTTTTTAGATTTGAAAATATAGTTCATTTAAAAGTAAATTAGACAGAGAGAGAGAAGATTCACCTCCCAAGGTGGGGGAGGGGGCCAAAGCTAAGAAGCATGGTGACAGCCATAGTTAAGAGAGCACACAGCCACACCAGAGTCTAGCTAGCAAGGCAATGGCAAACACACAATACTTATCTATCAAATTTGCTGTCTTACACAAGTGCAGTTCATGGTGCCCTAAAACAATTATGACAGTAACATGAAAGATCACAGATCAGTATGATAATAAAAGATTGAAACATTGCGAGAATCACCAAAATGTGAAACAGAGACACATTCTGTTGGAAAAATGGTGCCAAAACCATTACTCTATGCAGGATTGTCATCTTCAATTTGTAAATAATAAAGCATCTCCAAAGTACTACAAAACAAGGTATGCCTGTATTCTGAAATTGTCCAAAGGAAAATGTGAAGAATTTCTGGTTTCAGGTCCTTAAGCAGATAGTTCGGCTGTTGTTGAATAAATATTTCAAAAAACAAAGAGCTTAATAATATTAGTGCACATCAAGGATATTTCTGGCAAATGATAATACCCTTGCCCCTTTAGTCCTTTATCCTGGCCAAGCCTCTTTAGCAGATAATTTTTGTAAAATGTGATTTGATTCAAGCCTGCTATATCTTGTATTGAGTATTACCTCTCCCCGCTATCATCATGGGGGTTCAGAGGTTGGAAGAATTCGGGGTGACTCCAGGAAATGTGGATCCCAGCACTTACCAGAAGCTAAGTGCCGGATGACGAGTTTGTGGCAGCGGTTCCAGTGTCCAGCTTTAAATAAATAGAGGGCCTCCAAGTGCTTGTCAGATTCCATGTGTGCTCGCACTGCTTTGGCCTCATGAATCCACTCGGCAGGCACACAAAGCTTCTGGGTAAGGAAAGCCTCCTTATCCCAAGATTCAGGGGTCTCCAATAGCTGGCAGTGCCGGGTAAGCAGCTCTCGAACTGCCTTCTCACGCATGCTACAGGAAAAGAGATAAGCTAGAATACATCCCACATCCCATAGTCATTCACAGGAAAGGCTGCTGCAGACAGCTTAAAGTGGCCACTGGGGCAGCCTTTCAAACTTCAGGTATCAACCACTTCATACTTCACTAAAAAACACTAAAAGCCATCACCCCAGCATTATTATTATTATTTGAGTTGGAGTCTCACTCTGTCACCCAGGCTGGAGTGCACTGTTGCCTCAACCTGCTGGGTTCAGGTGATCCTTCTGCCCCAATCTTCCAAGTAGCTGGAATTGTAGGTGTGTGCCACCACACCTGGCTAATTTTTCTTCATTTATTGTAGAGATGAGGGCTCACCAAGTTGTCCAGGCTGGTCTTGAACCCCAGGACTGGCTCAGGCAGTCTTCTTGTCCCAGCCTCCCAAAGTGCTGGAATTACAGGCTTGAGCCACTGTACCCGGCCAGCATTTTTTTTTTAGTGATATAGAATAAAATAGAGCATATCTAACTATATCATATTTTTATAGTCAAGAAAGTTGGAAAACAAATCCTCTAGGTTTGGCTGCCTACATTCCAGAAAAGGTTTCCCCCAGCCAGTACTTCTTCATTTCCTATCTAGTAACATTTCCTTGCCACCTCCTAGAAGA